TCTCAGCCCCCCACCCCTCACAGGGTGTCTCTGTTGTGGGGAGAGGAAGGGAAAGGAGATTGTAAGCCACTCTGAGACTCCTTCGGGTAGTGAAGGGCAGGGTATAAATCCAATCTCTTCTTCATCTATATTCTGGTGTCTGTAACCCACCACAAAAAGAACCTTTTCACCAAGTGTCTAAAAATGAACAGCAGCGAGACATGGCGTCCCTATGGAGAAAACCTTCTTCCTTGTAGTCACTTATGAATGCTACAGGGGCAGTAGACTGCGTTCAGTTATAAGGAAGCCTGTATTATAGCTGAGAACGGCTATCAATGCCCCTCTTCTCCACTAAACTACCACGGGAGATATGAGCACTAGCAGTTCCATGAGATCCCACTGCTTATAAGGCAGCCTGAAAAGCTTTTCCTGTACTTGTTCTCTGAGTAGGACTCTCTCACAGACCTCATTTATGCACACTCAGTTCTCAAAGCGCAAGGCAGGCTTCGGCCAGCAAGATCCAAGCCTAACCACTTTCTCTGTGGTCTTTAATCCCATCAAGATGTAAATGCCACATCCACATTCCTCTCGCAGTCTATGCATTCTTGTCTTTCTGGCTTGCTGCTGAAGGGACTGCAGGAAGAAAACAGCAACAAGCCTCAAAGTCGCCTTTGCTTTTTTCCGCTACCCATTCAGAAGATTGTGAGCAGATCTAGAAGAAGCGATTGGATTTATACCCTGCCCTTCACTACCCGAAGGAGTCTCAGAGTTACAATCCCTTTCCCCTCCCCTCCCCACAACAGACACCCTGTGAGGTAGGTGGGGCTGAGAGAGCTCTCTCAAGAACTGCCCTTGAGAGAACAGCTCTCAGAGAACTTATGACTGACTCAAGGTCACACCAGCAGCTGCATGTGGAGGCGTGGGAAATCAAACCCGGTTCTCCCAGATTAGAGTCCGCGCTCTTAACCACTACACCAAACTGGCTATCAGAGGAAGGTCAGTTGCCATTAGCCAAGTGGGTATCCTTGATCAGGACAGTGCCTTAGGCTGCTTTAAGTCATTACCTGCAGTGGATGCTTCCAAGCAGCACCCTGCTAGTAAGAGAATCCTCCTGTTTTAGCCCGCTGCAAAACTGTACTCACAATTCCTCTTAGTCTAAACATGCCTCCACACGAACATACACTGGAGGTGAATGGAGAGGTTTAGTCAATAAAGGGTGCCTGCAGTGTGTCGAGAACTCAAAACGTGCGTGCCCAAACTTGACACTGGAAGCACGCTGACGAAGGCAAATATTATTTTCTCACTGTCAACCACAGGATACAATCCAGTGACCTTAAATTCAGGTTCTGTAAGAGTAAGAACTGCGTATAGTTCAGTTCTCCTGCCCCCCCCACAACTTCTGTTTTCC